CTGGTTGCTGCGTCTGCTGCCTCATTTCGATCAGCAGTAGCAGCAGCACCTGCTGCTGGTGCTGCTGTGGGCTCAGAATCTAGAATCTAGCGTTTAGGGTTTGGGTTTAGGGTTTGTTTTGCTGCTATAGTTGAGGACGTTTTTGTGGAGGTGCTGATCCGGCCCCTTGTGGCAGCAGCAGCAGCAGCAGCAACTGCAGCAGTATGCGGCACGAAGCAGCCTGCGCACCTAAACAAACAGCAGCAGCAGCAGCTGCAGCAGCAACAAAAGCAGCAGCAGCTGCTGCAGCAGCGGCACCTCCTTCACCTCCCGAGGCCCCTGACGACGCAGGAAGAGGCGCTTGTGAGTGGCCTAGGGTTTAGGGTTTAGAGTTTAGGGTTTAGGGTTTAGGGTTTAGGGTTTAGGGTTTGGGGTTTAGGCCCCCTTTCTTTTGGCTTATTTGAAGAGCTAGGGTTTGGGACTTTTGCCATTTGCTGCAGCTGCTGCGCTGCTTGCTGCACGGAGTTGCTGCTCTTCTTTCTGCTGCTCCTGTGCTGCTGCTGCCGCTGGCGCTGAAGCTCTCGGGTGTACATACACCTCAGCAGCAGGCGCAGCAGCAGCTGGGGGGCACCCCACAAGTCCAGCTGCTGCAGCTGCTGCTTCGAGAAACGCTGCAGGTAAATCCAAACAGCTGCAGCAGCAGCAGCAACAGCCGCAACAGCAGCAGCAACAGCAGCAGCAACAGCAGCAGCAGCAGCGGCAGCAACACAAAGAGCAGCAGCAACAGCAACAGCAGCAGCAGCAGCTACTGCGATGCCGGCCACTCGCTGAGCCACTGATGTTCCGACTCCCTTATGCAGCAGCAGCTGCAGCAGCAGCAGCAGCAGCAGCAGCAAAGTGTCTGCTGCTTGCGTTTGCTGCTGCAGTGCATCTCTTTTGGCTGCCCCTCAGCCAGCGAGCCTGCTTACGGCGACAGCTTCCTATGGAGCTTCCTCAAGCTGCAGAGGTTTGCTGCTGTTGCTGCTGCTGCTGCTGTTTCTGAGGCTGTTGGTGCTGCTGCTGCTGCTGCTGCT